TTAATGACTGAGCCACCCAGGCGCCCCCTCAAAATATTTATTTATTTCAATGACTTAAACATGCTCCTGAGGTAGGAGCCTGCAACTCCCTCACGTTAACATACTGTGTACTCTCAAACGGGGGAGGGGAACAGAGAAAAAGTGGGCTAGGAAGGGCTTTCCCTAAGTTAGTTAGGCCAAGTGCATATTCCTTTAAGCTTCATATCCTGAGGTGAGAATTGTATCTTAGCTTCCTGAGATTGTAAGCCCTACTCTACTACTAACACACTCAGTACAATGCTATCAGATTAATCTTTCTTAATGACCACTTTTTAGCATGTTGTTCTCTTGTTTAGTACATTTAAGAACTCTTCATCATCTACAGATGCAAACCCAAACGCCTCAGCCCAGTAGTTCAGGCCTTCTGCCACATGGCTGTGAGGAAATTTTTTATGTTTGCCTCCCACTAATGCCTTATTTTTGAACACTGTACTTTAGAAATACACAACCTATGGGCGCCTGGGTGGCTCAGTTGGTTAAGCGACTGCCTTCGGCTCAGGTCATGATCCTGGAGTCCCGGGATCGAGTCCCGCATCGGGCTCCCTGCTCAGCAGGGAGTCTGCTTCTCCCTCTGACCCTCTTCCCTCTCGTGCTCTCTATCTCTCATTCTCTCTCTCTCAAATAAATAAATAAAATCTTTAAAAAAAAAAAAAAGAAATACACAACCTTTGCTGAACCTCTTACCCTTTAACTCATTACACTACTTACCTAACAACTCATACGCTGCCGCACTGCGGTTGGTTACTATTGTATATTTTTATCTCCCACATATCCAACTACCCTGGACGTTCGCTGAATACAAGCAAAATGAGTTAATATCTTCCTATTCCTTGAGTGCCCTTTACATGGGAAACACTCAGTAACTATTTGTTCTTACTATGCATCATACATTGCTGCTCAAAAATGATGTCATCAATAGTTCTGTCGTGTTTTATGCTTTTCGGTGAAAATTTTATGCTCATTCTCTCCAACTCAATCTGGCCAAACCAGCGGTCTTCATTTCCCCTTCTTGTCCCACTCTGTTTCTCCTCAGCTAAGAAGATGATGCCACCAGTTACCCGGTGGCTCAGACCCAAAACCCAGAAGTCATCCTTGCTTCCTCCCTGTCCTGCTCTTTCCACATCCTACCCGACTCAAGGTTCCGAGAGCTCAGTAAATCCTCCAGCGCCCACTTCTCTCTACTGCATGGTGACCTTACCACAGGAGCCTCCAAGCTGCTCTCCTAGGCTTCTCTCAGCCCCTCTACTATCTATTCTCCATGCAGCAGCACGGACAATAATTTGAAAATATAAATCCGACCACGACATTCCCTCATTTAAATCCCTCCAGTAGCTTTTTGTCGCATGCAGAGTAAAATCTGAATGCTTTTATCAAGGACCTACAAGGCTCTGTGTGACCTGGTCCCTGCCTACCCTTCCAGCTCCAAGTCATATTATTCTTCCTCTGTATCACCAGGCTCTGGCCATCATCATCATTTTCCTGACCCTAGAACATACCAGGCTTATTCCTGCCTTAGAGACTTTGCACATTCTTTCCTTCTGCCTAGACCATTCTATCCCTAGAAGTCTGCCATCTAAATTAATCACTGGCCTGCCCACCCAACCACTTTCAACCGTATCACAGTTTTACTTCCCATCACTTATCTCTATCTTAGTCACCTGCTTATTTGGCTTATTGCCAATCACACCCAGGTCTTCTCAACCTGTAAAACTAACTGACACTTTGCCATTTTTGTTCACTATTGTTTCTCCAACACCTACAATAACTCCTGGCACACAGTAGGAAGAAAACAAGTGACTTGAATAGATGAGTAAGTGATCTCAATTGAGATCCTGCACACCGTTACCAAAGCAGACAGTAAAAGTATGACTATCCTCATTATTTATAGGCAGGGAAAGTAAGGTTTAAATCTATGACATGACTTCTTCAAAGTCACACAGCAAGTTAGGGACAGGGTCAGAAAGAGATCTCAGGACTCTAAGTTCAGTGTTTTAACTATTAGACTATTATACCATGCTGCTAAAATGTGGTTAGTTTTAAACCACTTCAAATAATTTTTTAAATTCATTAAATCCCTTTAATAAACATGGCATTTTTAATGGAAGAAAAGAGTCTAATAAAAATCTATTGTTAATTCAACTATCACATCAAACATAGAACAAGTAAAAAAGTGTTTGTTCCCTATATATATTTTTTCTTTCCTATACATTTAAAAAACATTTCTTAGACTCACCTATTATCTGTATACATTTGGTAAGATATAGAATGTACAAGCTAAAGCACCCAACTGACAGCATATCTAACATCTTTGATTCCCTTCCACCTCTCTCCCAGCACACCTTTTTAAAATTCCCAGAAGAGTGTCCATCCCAGAACCTTAAGATTAAACATGACGGTGTATTTTAAGATTGTGTTATAATTAAGAGCACACTTACGTTGATGAGCACTGAGTAATATATAGAATTGTCAAATCACTATACTGTACACCTGAAACTAATATCACACCGTATGTTAACAATACCAAAATTATAATTTAAAAAAATTTACTAATAAAACCCTTAGATATAAGAAAAAAAAAGTGTTATCAAATTCTTTGGTGACTCTCCTTGATGAACACTATCATTTTAAAGGATAGTAATTTTTCAAGTGTTTTTTTTCCTTATAAAATACCACACATGAGCCCTTTCGTATATAGTTGCCACAGAAACAATAAAGTCACCACAGATGCCTCATTAAAAGTGGACCCTTCCAAATATTTAAACGTACCCTTTTAAAAGCCATTCATTGATGGGTGTGATTGATAAAAGCTGAAGAAAAAGCCATATTGTTGCTGGGAAGAATGCAAGTGTAAAGATCTGAATGAAAAGGTGCAGTTTTATATGCACCAAAGCACTGGTCAGCTCCTGCAAAAATGAAAGACACAAAACAGCAAAGATAAGAAAACCATTTTTCTGAAGAGAGACTATACTAAAATAACATCAAATAAGTTAGTTTTTAATTTGAAGTTATTTCAGAGCTAAAATCTTTACCTCTAAGTATATGCATAACAGATTTTAAGGGGGGAAAAGAGGTATTTTTATACAAAATTTCTGAAAAATTCTCATTTTTTCTGAATATACAATATACCCCAACAATTCAGATTTGTAAAATTCTGAACCAAAACTGAGCCAAGTACCTTTACATCAGTATAGACCTAAGGATTGTTGACGCTATGAACAAACATGCATATAACTACTTAAGGACCTATCACATTTTAATTAAATATGATTACTCTCTAAGAAGGCCTCACTTTGGCAAGGTGTTACCAAATCTACACGCAGATAATAATTTTTAAAAATGTTTTCCCCAACAATGTTCTATAATTCAAAATGGCTTTTTCGCCCCAAATCAACTTTCTGGATTTTTTTGCTAATGCTTACTGAACAGCAGCTATGTGCCACGCTCTGAGCTTGTCATTTTATGTATGTTATCTCATTTAATCCTCACAACAGCCCCACTAGATATTACTAATCTATTTTACTGAGGAGGAAATTGAGGTGGGGAGCCACCATTCAGTGCAGTTCAGAATCAAACTCATTTCTGGTATGCTAGCAAACTCGTGTCTGTTTCTTCCATCGTGCCACACCACTGCCCCAGACCAAAGAAATTCACATTAAACACGACAAACCAGGCACATGCTCTATGTCTCACAGCTAAAAAAGGATAATGAGTTAAATTTGGGGGTTCAAATATGTACAAACTAACAAGCACTTGCATTTGAATTTCTTTGAGTTATAGCATTATTCAGTTGAAATAAAACAAATTCAGAAAGTAGTAGAAAAAGTACTATAAAAATAAGTACTATAAAAAAGTCCTATAAAATATGCAAGAAGTCATTAAAGCACAAAGATGCCAGAGATTCACTGGTTATAAGCATAGCACTGGAATGCCTCCCCTCATTCAAATAAGACATTTAAGAAGTCCTGAGCCTCAGAGACATTAGCCAAAGTCCATCAGTTTAGTGGACAGTAGGTTAATGCTGACTCTGATCGCCACGTTCAGGGATCTGTCTCATCGGCTCCCACTACATATCTCCCTGTATGAAGACACACAGCAGTGCCAGTGTGGTCACCAAACATCTCTAATGACACCTGAGGAATATCTGGCAATTTGGGTCTAACTTCGGACAGATGGGAAGCCCTGGGCAGACCAGAAGCCACCCCAGGTCCATGGATCAGATCTAAGATCAAAGGAGTCATCCTTATACTGTATCAGAATTCTTAGTTTCACCCTGAGAAAAGAAGAGCACCAGCAGTTCCAAGAATGCTCAGCAGTTTCAAAACCAAATCCCACTCAAATATACTCAGATGTAGTTGATAAATACCAAGTAAATATTAATATTTTAATTTTTTAACTGTAACAAAATGATGAGCCAGAATGCAGTTACTAAGGAATTTGCATATACTTTAGATAGGAATATGAAACAGCATAACTTTTCTGAAAAGTAGCTTGGGAATATATTTCAAGGACTATAACACGATTCACATTCTTGGATCCCGAAGTGTTATGTCTAGGTACTTATTCTAAGGATATAAAATGTGGTTATAAGTATTTATATACAGAATTGATCACGACAGCATCATCTAGTATAGTAAAATTAGGAAACAAATTAAAAGTCCAAAAATGGGTGAATAATTAAGTAACTTAAGGTATAACACGACTGTTACGAGCTAGTGAAAACCATGTTAAAACTGTGTTGACAAGCATGTGGTAACACAGATCTCTTCCCTACTTAATCAGTAGGAGTATAAATTGGCACAATCTAGGGACAGCAATCTGGCAATTCATTCCGTCAGTCAACAAACACTGAGAACCTGACACTCTTCGAGGTACTTGGAATATCTGTCACAACTTACACTGTACATAACATTTGACTTAGCAATTCTATTTCTAGGAATTAATCCTTCACATTTTCTCCCAAATGTGGGAAAATGGACAATTTTTAGGTTATCGTCTGCAGCATTTTTGTAACAGCAAAACCTTAAAAATTACCTAAATGTCCATCAATGAGGACTAATAAAATATATTATGACACATTCATAAAATGGAATGCTTTCCAGCATACAAAAAGAAACAAGGAGTTCTTTATGTATTGATATGAAACAATCTCCAAGATAGGTTTTTTGAGTAAAACAAGACAGGGTGGCAAGCAGTACAAACACCACAGCTTGAAAGGGGGGCACATATGTTTTACACAGAATATCTCTGGAAAGATACAAACTATTAACATTGGTTATCTCCAGATATCTGACATAGGGAAGAAAAAAAGACTTCCCATCATATATACCTTTGTACCCTTTGATTTATGTTCATAAAAGTAAACAAAATGTAAATTTTATATACATGAAGAAAAATTAAATTCATATATTAAATTACATGAAAAATTTATAATTATACAATGTTACATGGGGAAAAAGATTATTTATGTGTGGGCATATGTGATATATATGCAAGTATACATATACAATTTTTTAAAATATTTCCTTTTTAAATATTCTATACGTAAAACATGTTTAGGAAAAAAGGGACTAAACACAGAGATGTTACTACTAGTTGTTTTTCTTCTTTCTAATCTTTCTACAATGGGGAAATACCACTTTTATAACCAGAAAAAGTTATAAAAAACAAAATGTAGTTTAAAAATACTAGCTGATCGGGGCGCCTGGGTGGCTCAGATGGTTAAGCGTCTGCCTTCGGCTCAGGTCATGATCCCAGGGTTCTGGGATCGAGTCCCGCATCGGGCTCCCTGCTTCTTGGGAGCCTGCTTCTCCCTCTGCTTCTCTCTCTCTCTCTCCCTCTCTCTCTCTCCCTCTGTCTCTCATGAATAAATAAATAAAATCTTTAAAAAAAAAATACTAGCTGATCTAATAAATGACAATTATAAGCAATTGCCATTGCATCAGAACAATGGAACAATAAAGAATCCAGCAAAATGAATCACAAAGGCTGACCATGTTGGGTCATGAGGGGCCTTTTGACAACAGCATTATATTTTCCATATCTTCTACATACAACCATAAAGATAAAATACGGTAACAATGGAAAAGAAAAAGCCAGTGAACACTATCACATCTAAAATAGTATTATTCCATACATACCCATGCAGAATTTAGGGCCATATACTCAGATAAATGCCATCATGAATAATTGAAAAGTTGATTCTGCATGACATTTTATTTATTCACATGTAATACAGGTCAAATTCCATTAAAATAAACTTCAGGAGATACTCCAAATACTGATTATACCAGAGTTATCACTGACAGTATAAAAAATTGCTTAAAATCAGGAGCTCTGACTGAGATGTAGAAATATTTTCATTACATACCAATTTCCCTTCTAACCCTTATTTGACCTTTATTTGATTCACTTTCTGAGAATCAGTCTCATAGCTCTGGGCTGGAAACAAGCAGCAAGAACCTAAAATTTAAAATTTGCTATATTTACTTCCGAGGTAATAGAACTTCAAAAAATAATCTGTTCAGGAAAATAAGAAAAGACCTGTGTATTCTGCCCTACTCAGGACCCTTTCCAGGCCCTGAGCATTTTGCTCATCTTTGTTTCCAACCCAGTGCCAAACACAGTGCCTTGTAGCCACAGGCATTTCATGGTATTATGAGATTTCATAGGTTTATATGAGATTGGTCCTGTCATGGTTTGCTAAGTGACAAATCCTCTGAAACTGTAGCTCCTAATTAGCTAAACATAAAATATATTTCAAATGTGATTTATTTGACTTTAATACATAAATTTTCAGAAAACATTTCAACGGATATTTTAAAATCTAGAAATAGTCATAAAACTGAAGACAGCATTAATCTTTTTAGTATTAAGTATTAACACAGAGTTCTTTATGATTTTAATAAATTAGTAAGACAAATTTTAGAATATACATCATTACATCAATGTATGGGTAATACTACATGAAATGTTCAGTATAAATCAAACTTGAATAGGACCACTATAAATGCTCTCAAATAAACTCAAGTCAATAATAATTTACTGTCTCCTGTGTGTGAAAATGCACTATTCTAATAGGGCTCAAAAACAGTAGTCCCAGCTGAAATAAACGTTAAGATTATTAACTAGAAAATAAATAACAAAACTGCTACCTCCTAACTTAAAACTGTTCAGTTGCCCAGGAAATTAGCGGGGCTTAAAGATGGTTTAACATACAATGATGCAATCTAGAACATCTTAAGTTAAATGGATCTTGAAAATGACTTAATGTAGTATAGTTTGAAAAGGGCCATTGATAGAAGAAATGGCTTTGATGGCTACTTAGATACTGTGATAAAGCACAGGATTAAGGCATTTCATCATTAGATCCAAATTAGCTGGATCTGAAGGTCTCCTTGGTGCTGATAAGCTGACATTCTTCCTTCTTAAACTCCTGCATCCCACCAAGTTGGCGGCTTTACAGAATCACATTAAGCAAGAAGCTAGGGGTGAGAGAATCAAGTCTCTTGCCAGATATCTCATGGCATAAGTAACAGCTGTAACCGTTAAGCAACTACCAGGGGACATAGTTAGAGCAACGTCCCAAGAAGAGGACTTGGGTAAGGCAGCTGCTCTGCAAAGGGCATTAGCCACAACCAGCAGGAAGACCTCCAAGGAAGAACAGTCCAGCACCATGCGAGTAGCAAATATTTTTCTGTATCACTAGGCCCCATATTTGAGAACCAATAGAATGAAGATGTTGACAGAAAAAATCTGTGCCCTCTAAGAACTGATCATAGTCCTTTCATGTCAATATAATTTGCAAAAACTAGATTTAACACATTTAGGAAATTCCGTCCCATGTCAGTTATTTTCAGAAGAACAGGTAGTAAGGATAGTCAGAATTTTTGACACAAATTTATCAGATACTACACAGGGAACCCATCTATATAAAAAATGCTCCAATAGAAAGATTTATACCAACCAGATAACTACAGAATACATAAATTTAGTAAAACCATATTTTTTCCATGTTGCTATTAGGATGGCCAAAGAAGGAGGTAACTAAATTCGGTCCTCATTCAAATCACACTTAAAAGAAAATAAGTAAAGCAAGACATGATGCTGAAACAAAATTTCAACTTTTAAAGCTATCCCCACCCCCCAAAAATCCTTGCATAGTAAGATTTCCCTATCTATATAAGAATAAGCATCTTAGAATAAGAACTTTAAAAAACCTAAGTAATTCTTTCAAAAATAAATAGGCATTTTTCTCCTTTTTTTCCTTTCTATTATAAGTCAAAAGAGAATCATAAATTCTACTCATTCCAATCTTGGATGTTAAAAATGTCTGATTTCTTTAATTCTAGGAGAATCCCATGTTCAGCGACACCTGGATCAATAAATAACATTATCTACATGTCTTCATGATGAATTGTGACATGGTATGAAAAATCCCAATTTCTCTCTTAAAACATTTAATATTTAATACCTATGCCAGCAAAGAATATACTTTAAAACATACAAATTAGTTAAAAGTTATAACATGCACCATTTGAGCAGCATGAGTCCTGACAACAAAAGTTCATTCACAAAAGTTATGGAAACCCAACTAAACATCCATAACTTAAATGTGCCACAGCATTCACCACCATAGTCACCACCACAATCTGAGGAAGACCTAAAGTAGATGCTTCATTCAGTTCAGTTGCTGTATTAAAAACATACCCATTATAACCACACCCTCAGGGTCTGTGTTGTTCTACTACAAAATTTCTATAATATGTAGGTTCAAAACACAGTCCTTTGCTGAAGTTCAAGTTATCTTTTGTTACAGTGAAGCTTTGAGGCCATAGTTACATACATCTTTACAAAAGAATTCTGAAATTTCAAAATATTAAGCAGAAATTAAATTTTTCTCCCTGCTTATCACATGCCCCATAAGTGACAATACCTCCGTTTTTAATGACAGTCCACTGTTAAAGAATATTGTTGCAACAGCAATGTAGGAGACGGTTATTTCTGGCTTCAGTGGTCCTAAAGAGACAGAAATGAGTTACTGTTAGATAAGAATTTCCAGCAGATAACTTAGTATGAAAGAAGAATCCATTGGTGGAGGGCAAATAGTACTTCAAATCTTAGTGTTGCCCTAGTATACTACTGTTCTGACAGAGTTCAGCATTTGCTGTGATGCAGTCTAACTCCGAAGGGGATTTTCCAGAAGGCAAGGACCATGGCTATCCAGTTCAGCACAGGATCCTCAGATCAGAAGAACACTCTCCTGGGTGACAGCAGATAGGCAACCTCCTTTAGTATTAGGACCTAATTGCATCTGCCACAGTATCAGTGTTTATATAACAATCAAAATTCCCCAAACCAAAAAAAAAAAAGAGAATCAGTGGAAGAAGGTCCCTTCTCTTTAGCAAATATTACTTTACTCCTTCTAGGATACCAGAAATAAAAACTTGTATTCATGCACACATTCAATTCTGCCCAAGAGTATTCATTTCTACAAATATTTTTTGAGCACTTACTATGTGAATGAGATAACGCATATAGATTAATAGAGTACTAACAATAGGTTAGGTTTGCAATTATTATTACACTGTGCCAGGCCCTGGCTATACTGTAGTGAACCAGACAATCCTGATTTTGCCCTCTGGAAAATCCTCTCTGGAATTAGGCTGGCATCACCCCAAATGTGTTAATGCTATGAGGACAAGAGCAGCAACTCTGATACTTACTTCTTTTTGTAGCCTATATACAATTGTCTTAAAGACCCAATGTGTTAACCAAAGAACAACATTCTTTTAAAAGATGTAGTCTGAGAAAATGCCATTTTGTACTTATGTACCAGTGGTTCTCCAGCAACTGCAATTTTTCCTCCCACAGACATTTGGCAATGTTTGGAAATTCTTTTTGGTTGTAATAACTCAGCAAGTGGGGTGTGTTACTGGCATCTAGTAGACAGAAATCAGGAGTTCTGCTAAACAAGCTAGGAGGCACAGGACAGCCCTCCCAACAACAAAGAATTAACGCGTCCAAAACGTCAATAGCGCTGAGGTCGAGAAACACTGGCATAGGCCAACATTTTAAAATCCGATCACCTCATATTTGACATTCTATTCAGCCCTCTCATGCTGAGTTGAATAGTGTCCTCCAAAATTCATGTCCACCCAGAACCTCTGAATGTGACCTTATTTAGAAATTGGTTCTTTGCAGATAGATGTAACCACGTCAAGATGAGGTCTTATTGGGATTATGGTAGACCCTAATCCAATGAACTAGTATTCTTACAAGTAGAGGTAAATTTGGACAGAGTCACACACAGAGGGAAGATGGCCACGTGAAGACAGAGGCAAAGCCTGGAATTATATTATCATAAGCCAAGAAACACCAAGGACAGCCGGCAACCACCACAAGCCAGAAGCCAGGAAGGATTCATCCCTAGAGTCTTCAGTGGGAGCATGGCCCTTGACTTCAAAATTCCAGTCTCCAGAATAATTTCTGGAAAATAAATCTCTGTCGTTCTACGCCACCCAGTTTGTGTGAATCTGGTGTGGCAGCACTAGGAAACGAAGATCCTCCCTTATGCAACAAGACCACAATCATAGGTCCACCGTTCCCTGCGGCCCTCCACCATACCCACAGGTACTGCTCAATAAGTAAGACCAAGCTCAGGAAAAATCACCATTCAGGCCACAAATATTTACTAAGCAACTCTGATATTTTAGGCATTTGTACTATATCAATGAACAAAAAGAAACAAAGATCTTCTCAAACATAGCAATAAATTCTTGTATATACTTGGCATTTAAACAAATTACTTTGCTGAGATTTGAGAAAAGGGAGCAAAAGGAAGAAGGCAAGTGCAAAAGGCATTACATTTCAAGGCAGTAAAAGTATTCCAAAACTTAAAAAGAAGTGCGTTTTTTATACTTGTGAGTGAATCTATCTCTGCAGCTCACACTTAGAAATATTTTCTCTACAACTGAGGAAGCTGATTCAGGAACAGATTTTAAAGTCAGGAATCTGACTTGTTTTGGAAGTAAATGCCTTCCAGGAATTTTAAATAGTTTGTTTGTTTGTTTGTTTGAACTCATTTTTATTCTCCTCCAATCCTGGGGCACCTGGGCGGCTCAGTTGGTTAAGCAACTGCCTTCAGCTCAGGTCATGAATCTGGAGTCCTGGGATCCAGTCCCACATCAGGCTCTCTGCTCAGCAGGGAGTCTGCTTCTCCCTCTGACCCTCCCCCCTCTCGTGCTCTCTTTCTATCTCATTCTCTCTCAAATAAAGAAATAAAATCTTTATTCTCCTCCAATCCTTTGCTTTTTATGAGACCTTATTCTTGTCAACTATACCTCTGCCCACAGTGAAGCCCCAGAATTTCTATATAGGATGAGTTAAAATGAGCAATGTGGTCACAAAGGAGAGCAGGGGACTTGTCCAAAGATGCACCTCCACAGCAAGGACATGGTTTCTTTAGACTGCATGTTTCTTTGGGGCAGCTAAAGCATCTACGTTAGTTGGCCAACAACTATATTTTTTTAAGAAGCTAACTCCTCCATGCTACACACATACACACACACACACACACACACACACATAAATACACATGATAACTATGAACTGATTGGCATAATTCAGTGAATGATTCCTGGCTTTTAATGTTTTAAATTCTAGAGATGGGGTACACTGTTTTTTGTATTAGATGCACATCTAAACAACTTTAATCCATGGAAGAACATGATGAAGATATTCCATGTCTTCCTACAATGTACTTTTCAAAAGCCTGGGAGGCTCAACTGGTTAAGTGCTCAACTCTTGATTTCGGCTCAGGACATGATCTCGGCTCAGGGCATGATCTCAGGGTTGTAAGATCTAGCTCTGCGCTGAGCTCCGTGCTGGGCGTGGAACCTGCTTTAGATCTCTCTCTCTCCCTCTCCCCCTATTCCTCTCCTGCCTCTCTCTCCCTCTCTTAAAAAAAAGGTGGGGTGAAGAAGGAATTAATTCTGATTTCAAGAAACCTAAAGCCCCTTTGGGAAGTGATCAACTGAAATTCTAATAGATTGCCCAAGTTGGGAATGGGGACCTAGAAGTCACACAGGCCTGAAATAAACACTTGGTAAATATTTGCCCAGAGGTGAAAGTTGAGACTACATATAAAAATGAGATCTGGCCTCTCTCCAAGATAATGATTATATACTCCATGTCACCAAAATAGATCTGAATAAGACCTGAATCTTAAGATGGCTATAAAGTTCAATGCAGAAATAAAAGTTTTAGCTTTTCCTTTAAACAAAAGCAAAAAAAAAAAAAAAAGTTTCTCAGTGAAATCAGTGAAAATGGAGTAGGGTAGCAAAATCAGAAGAAAAATTAGCCAGAAAAAATGAGGCAATTTTGGGGCTCTCCAAATCCATGCTTTTTATTGGGGGAGATAAAAGAAAATGATTTGGAATGCTTAAAAATGCAAGGAACTGTTACCATTTCATAAAATCTACTCATCACCAAGTAAATTTCACTTCTAAACCTAATATAGGATATTAATGCGAACACACTTTAGCTTCAACATGTTTCTGCTTATGTTTTTTAACGGAAAAACAAAGCAGTTTCCTTTTAGAATTTATGTCTTATTAATGTCAATAATATAAATTAAGATGCAGGTAGAAATGAGAAACTTACTCTGTCCTTCCAAAGAAGGAAACCTTTCTGTTCCCAAGAATGAATAGCACAGTGTTAGACTCTGGTAAACTCTAAGGTGTGCATAGCTCAGGGCTTCCCTGGGTTTGCACTGGGACTGGAACAGATTATTAACACCTCAGAATCTACACATTTACATTTACCCCGATTATTTTCAACTTCTCCTATATATTTAAAAATGAAATGTACCTGAGTAAAAAGGACAGTGAACTAAGAATTAAATTATCTAGGTTCGTACATGTGATGCTTTTTCCCATTTGGAAAGTCATTCAACATCTCTAATTTTCAGGTTTCCATCACCTATAAATTTCCTGTGATACATAACTCACCTATTGGCCATACAGACTGTTTTTAAAGGGAGGTCAGATCATAGGTATGATATTTTTAAGTGCGGAGGGCTTGCACTTAAATCACTTCAGTATAAAAAGTGTAGTCGTTAAGGTATCAATCCAGGTAAAGATGAAGTGAACATCTTAACAAATTTAAGACTACCAAAACTTTTCCTATTTAAAAGAATGTCTAGGAAACCGTTCTATTGAAAATTGTTCAGTCAATATGAAGGCACTAGAAATCACAGTTCCCGAGTATACAGAGCCCATAAATGGAACCTATGACTAAAAATTATAAGTACAAAAAAATAGAAATAAAAAAATAAAAATTACAAGTACAAAGAAGTGCTTTGGGGGCGCCTGGATGGCTCAGTCGGTTAAGCATCTGCCTTCAGCTCAGGTCATGTCCTGGGATCAAGTCCTGCATCGAATGGGGCTCCCTGCTCATCAGGGAGTCTGCCTCTCTCTCTCTCCACCTGCCTCTCCCCCAGCTCATGCTCTCTCTCAAATAAATAAATAAAATCTTAAAAAAAAAAAAAAGAGGTGCTTTTGACCATTCTAAAGAGCAAGATGTAATAGAAACATTTTCAGCAACCATTCCTCTCCTTATCCTAGATTTTTGTTGTTTTAACTTGTGAAGTGAAAGTGTTATTTGGTACTATGTGGAGGTTTATTTTTACTTAAGAGGTTTCACAGGTGGGAAGGTTAATTAAAAGCTCAACAGAATTACCAAGAACTTAGCCTGACAGCCTATATAAGAAAACCCAAACAATCATTTGTTCTAATTTTTTGGAAAAAGTAATTTTTACACATGGACAGTTATCAAATCACATGAGTACACTGTTATTTAATATTAGCTGATTCTGCTCTGCTCTTTTGAGCTAAAATTGAGGCACTGAAAATGTCTTTATTGCACAGAGCCCTTCTTTAGAATATTCATTTTAAATTATTTTTGCCAAGAAAATTTGTATGGGTTTTGCAACTAGTATGAAAAAAAGGGAGAGCCCTGGTGTCCAGTGCCTCTTTCTTGAGCTAGCTAACTAACCAAGGATGAGTCACCTGACCTCAGGTCTCAGTATCTTCAACTGTAAAAGCAGCTTGTTGGCTTAAAATACTTAAAGGTCCCTTTTGGCTCTTAACATTCTACTCTTATAATTAAACAAAGAAGTGAATTATCCTGGATTAATGGCATAAGTACCAGTAAAAATCGGAGGCAATATTTCTAAGATACGATAATATACCAAAACTTCAAGAAGCAGAGTCAGAAGGAACAAATAAGATTACAGAATCCATCTTTCCTAGGGCTTTCAAGAAGCCCTAGGAAGATGATTCAGCGTTCAATAACCCTTCTTCCCACAGCATCCTGGGACTATAAAATAAAAAGCATTTTACCAAAGCTAGCCCCTGCAGATTTAAACATAAAGATAATACCTGTAATTACACCTTAACAATGAGCAAATAAGAGATCTAACACCATAAGCTAGAAAGTGTGCTACTGAAGCTAGTTAAGTGTACGTTCCAGATCACCACAAAGACACTCTAACTTTAATTCTGCCCATCCAGCTAGCTCCAGGAACAGAGGGTACTCATTTGACAGAACTTGAAATACCAGCATTCACAAGTTTTCCAAAAGCTCCCAGGGAAGCCAGGTCAAAGATCTTCAGAAGGAGAAACCATGATGAACATCAGCTTTATTCTCAGTTACGTATTCTACACATTTTGTACTAGTTGAACACAGAAGGAAAAAACATAAAATAAATAAAAAGTTTTGATCCTCATAATCTTTGTTCAAATAATTCCTTTTAAAATATTCCCTGCAGCTACTTCTAAATGGAGGAATTGAGGGTAGATGATAGAAGGAACCACTGTTCCAATGAGAGATCATTTCATTCACTTCCAACATGTTTTAACAAAGAGGTATATATAACTTCAAATAGCCCCCCGAGCACTTCCTAAAAGATTCTGTGTGCTCAATTCTGTCCTTAGTTGTCCCTGTTGTATGGCTGACCTATTAAAACTATCAATAAAGGTGGAAACTGACAAGGTCAAAAAGACAATGAATTGAAGAAGTTCAATTAATGTTTATGAAAAGTAGGACACGATTGTCTAAGGGTGAAAAGGCAGGGAGGAGAATAAAAGACTAATAATATTTCCAGTCATTTCCACCAATGCCCACCTCCACATTACAAGGCTCCCACTATTCAGAAATCTGAGTATGATTTTAGCCTGCCTACATTTCCTTGCCAAAATACACACCACACATAGCCTAACACAGACTGTATTTGTTAGAGTACTAACAACTGAGTCCTGGCAGCACACGGAAGTAGTGTCCTGTAATGAAAAAGTGCAACGTGTCAGTCGGCTTGGGAGTTTCTGAAGCAGCGGCAAATGCACAAATCATCACTCTGCAACATGTGGGCCACAAAATCTGAAATGGAGAATGAAGGGTATCCCTTTTTCTTTTTCTTCCCCCACCCCCTTTTTTTAAACGTGGCGGCGGGGAAGGGGGGGGGGTAGATCCGGAAATAGACAAGGTAATGGTGGCCACGCCAAGATAGATAAGGAACTCCTGGCAACCTAGCTAGCGTCCCTTGGGATAGGATGCTACTTTGAAGGCAAGAGGAGTAAGTTTCACTCTCAGTAAGCTCACTCCTTAACACTAAGGATACTCGTTGATTGTTCGTGGAAAAGGTAACCTGCGTTCAAATTCCTTTGCCCCATTCCTAATTACAATCTGGGGTTGGTAAATTAAAACATCAGCAAAAGGGCCAAATGACACCCCGAGCTAGTCAGTGCCCTTGAGAGAACTAGCCACTTCCCGACTACGGTCTCCCCCTCCTTTCCCGGCTCGAAAATTAGTTTTGAAGTGGGAATCGCGATGGAGCGTTCAGAGGTGCAGCACTTACCCCCATTCACCCCTATAGATGGCTCCAGTTTAGCTCCAGCGATAGCCAGCACTATTCCAATCATGAACCATTCTTTCCTCATTCTCTCCAGCAGCCTCATGTTTGTTAGGGTGGGTGGGTTTTGTTTATTTGTTTGGCTTTTTTTCTTTTTAAGCTGCGATCGCTTAATCCCCGGGGCGTCTCCACACTTTCCACGGTCCCTCCAGACATGCAGCAGGGCAAGTCAAATTGCCACTTGTAAACTAAAGACCAGGGGGTTGCTCCGGCGGCTTTGAGGAGGGCTGGGAGTAGTAGTATCCAGTGACAGGAAAGTCTCACTGAGCGCCGCCATCACTACCACGCGCCTCATAATAGACGCGCACGCTGCCACGGCCGCTCTATCCGCGGCTCCCAAGCACAAATGCTCTGAAGTGGACACGGCCCAAGTCGGCCAAGGCAGGCGATCAGATAAAGGAAACTGGCTGCCTGGTGGGGCTGACAGACGCCACCGCCAGGACCTGCGGAACCTAAGGAATGACTGGTATTCGCAGCGACGTTAGACTTCACAACCACCCAGCGTTATCGAGGGTCCCGCTCCGACAAACCTTTAGGCACAGCTGCCCGCGCCCCTGGAGCACATCCATGGAGAAACTTTTTTTTGCTTCGCCATGAACTTGCGGGAAAGGTCAGCATGGACTCCGGGCAGGGATTTCTCCGTTGGCAGCTGCGGCGGCGGGGTTCAGGGTTTTTTTTTGTGGCGCGCTTCTTCGGGGCATTACGACGCTTCCCCGACGCCGGCGTTGACGTGTGCGCCGGGGAAGGGAAGGCCACTCTCGGTCTCCAGGTTCTCCGCGGGAGTCCCAGGAGTTAGAGGCGCTCCGATGTCCGCTCAGGAAAACGGCTCCTTCTTTTGGGGAGTTTTAGCCCCGAGGATGGGTTGAAAATTGGACGTTCACCTAACACCCAAGTCCGCAGGACCCTGCCTTCCAGCATCCTCTGCGTCCCGGGAGGGCGGTTGGGACCAGCCAGGTCTGTGGCTTGTTGGACCCGAGGCCCGAGACCACGCAGGCCCCCGGGAGTGGGGCGGTCTGCAAGGGTTCAGTCTCTCCCGGGAGCAGGGGACCAGGTCTTCCTTCGGGGGCAGTGATGAGTGCTCAAGCTCCCTCCCAGCGAAGCTGAGGATAGGCAGGGTCGGGTCCGAGCAGGGGAGTCTAAAGGGTTCGCGAGTGCACGCTCTTGCTTGACCCTCAGGGCCTGCCCACCCAAGCAGCAGGAGAACTGTGGGAAGGGGGCCAAGGACCTCAAGGCAAAAAAAAAAAAAAAAAATGAGGAACCGAGTAGAGGGGAGCTCCCGCCTTCCATTGGCCCTCGTGCTGGATTCTATGTGTCCCCCAGTTTCTCCCTTGAGGTTTTCTAGCAACCATTGACATTGATTATTTCATGAATGGACTTTTTACTCCTAGACCCAGCAGGAACTTCAGCTTCTCCCCAGTATGCACCAAAATAAATGAACAAATAAAATACTATCTGACATTTTGAAGTAGTGTGGTGTCTAACTGTGGAACCTCAGGTTTGGAAGAGACTTCTAGGATTGTTCAATGATGCCAGCCTTTAATTCTGAATTTATTTGGAGATTGAAAGAGACTCATTTGGTAATTTCCTCTACTTATTTAGCTTTATCTCGTTGACATGACTTGCTGTCCAAAAACTAAGCCAGTTTTTGCAGTTATGCTACCAGTTGTAGGTTACACAGTGTAGAGTGTCATCTAATTATTACATCAGGCAGAATGACAAAAAGTGAAACAAGATAAAAAGAACTTAATAGGAAGACATAGATGACATTAAACAACCTGAAAATGGAAAAGAAAGCACATGAGATGTGATGAAACCTGATGTTAATTATCAGGCAGTCACCAGATAAGTGGAGATGAAAGATAGTTTACAACACAATTATTTTCAGTCATTGAAGATATGCTCTTGTATTTAAAAAAAAAATCATTAAATGTTATGATTACAGAGAATTGGGCCAGTTTAATTTTATGACTAAACAGCCATAAAATTTGCAAACGCAAATTCCTATTTACTAAGAGCTCTTTGGTCTATTTACAGCAGAATCTAACTCATGGAAAGGTTTTTTGTTTTTAATGATACTTAAAGGAAAATATAGTGTGCTGCAATTTCTGTTCTGTTACTGTAAGACCTATATTAGTTTCCCATGACTACCCTAAGAAATACCTAAAACTGGATGCCTTAAAATAACAAATCTGTTTTCTCGTAGCTCTGGAAACCAAAAGTCCAAAGTCAAGATGTTGGCAAGGCCATATTTCCTCTGGAGGCTCTAGAGAGAGAATCCTTTGCCTCTTCCAGCTTCTGGTGGTTGTTGGCATAACTTGGCTTCCTTCCTTATGGCCATATCACTCCAATCTCTGCCCCCCATCTTCCCATCACCTTCTCCTCTGTGTGTCTGGCTGGTGGCCACATCACTCCAGTCTCTGCCTCTGTCTTCACATTGCCTCCTCTCTTCTATGTCTCCTCTTCTGTGTGTCTCTTATAAAGACATTTGCCATTGAATTTAGGGCCCACCCAGATAATCCAGAATGATCTCATTTTAAGATCCTTAATTATACCTGAAAATATCCTTTTTCCAAATTAGGTGATTGTACTCTGTTGACTATGTCCCCCAAATATTTATGTGCACCTGGAGCCTCCAAATGTGATCTTATTTGAAATTGAGTCTTGCAGATGTAATTAGTTGAGGTCATACTGGATTAAGATGGGTCCCAAATCCACTTAAGGTGTCCTTATAAGGAGAACATGTGGTGACACACAAAAGAGACATGAGGAGGAGAAAGTTACATGAAGATGAAAGCGGAAGACTGGAGTGATGTGTCCACAAGCGGAGGAATGCCAAAGGTTCTGCCTCGGAAACAACCACCAGAAGCTGGAAGAGAGACATAGAACAGATTTTTCCCTCAAAGCCCCCAGAAGGAACCAACCCTGCTGACATCTTGATTCCAGATGGCCTGAACTGTGAGAGAATAAATTTCTGTTGTTTCAAGCCACCCAGTTTGCAGTACTTTGTTCTGGCAACTCTAGAAAACTAGAAATGGAATCATTCACAGATTCCAGGGATTAGATATGGACCTGTTTTTGGTGTGCCCACTGTTCAACCTACTACAAACCCCTTCCTGCCCTCTCTTTCTTCCATTACTCTTTCTTCAATAATTCTGTCCCCTTTCTCTTTCATTCATTTTTTTCCTGTCATTCTTTTCCCTCCCTCTGTCTCTTCACCTTAGTTTTTTCTCTTTATTACCCCTGCCACTTCACCTGACATCATCCCAATGAAAATGTACATGTGAAAGCACACGTCTCTAAAAGACACATGAGAAATGCTCTTTGTTCAATAAATATTATATTTGTATATTGAACAAATATTTAATGGTCTCCACTATGTGCCAGCATGTGTCAGTGTTGTGCATTCAGTTATGAACAAAAAAAGACAAAACCTGCCCTCAGGAGTTTATACTCTAGTAGAGGAGACAGATGTAAACAAACATGTAATTACAAATTGCCATCAGAAAGGAACAGGATGTTGTGAATAATCTAGATTGGGGAAAGCCTCCTGAGATCAGAAGGATGAGCAGGCAGGTGGGAGAAAGCTATTACTCAGCAAGGAAGAGCTTGACACCATGGAATTCAAAGACCAGGATAGCTAGATGAGTCAGTGAAGGGAGAGTGATGTGGAAAGGGTAGAGAGAACTGGGCAGGGTACAAATCACATATGACCTCTCATGTCATCGCCGGGGATTCAGATTTTACTAAATATTTAGGAAGCCACTGAAGGATTTTAGACTGGCTAGTGATGATATGTCTAGTGTGCTGCAAAAATTCCTTAAGAAGCAGTCTCTCCACAAATAGTTCAGGAAGAAGTGACTAAGTGAATGGAGCTGGGAAAGACAATTAGTATAAAAACTGTTAAGCAGAAAGAAATAAAAACAAATAACCAGTCATCTCTAGGGGAATGGGGAAGCAGTCTAAAATGACTCCCAGAATGTCTTTCAGATAGATGCCAGTGCCATTCACTCAGCCAGGGAATCTTTACAAAGCAGATTTGGGGAACAGATTTTAAATTTAGTTTATATCTTGTGTGCAAGGCCACCTAGGCATATAAGGATAGATGTCCGAAGGCAGGTAAAATGAAGGTTTGAGCTCATGAAAACACAGTTGCTATAGTTCCTGGATTCTTCAACAATAGCTTATGGAAACCATAGTCATTAATGTAGCAAATATTTACTTTTAAATTTGTTACTCACATTGGTTACTCAGTCTCTTTGAAGATGGTTTGCTTACTTCTAATACTTACGAATGTTTACTATATGCCAAAACAGGGGTACATCTTACTCTCACGGACTTTATGTTTAATAAAATGTTGATAGGAATTCTAGCTCATCAGGCTGTTGAAAAGGTTCAGTGGGATAGTGTGTATACATTGCCTTGCACGGAACAGATGCTCAGTTACTCATTTATTCAACAAATATTTATTGAGCCCCTTTTGCGAGGCATTATTCTGGATACTCGGGTTACAAGGAAAAGTGAGAGACAAGGGTTCAGCTTTGCTTCTGTATTCCAATAATTGCATAAAAAGAAAAGGAATAAGTAGTGATAAATGCCATGATGAAAAGAAAACAAGTCACATGATAGAGTAACAAGGAGGCTACTCTGAGTGGTGGGAGAAGGCCTTTCTGAAGGCATGCAATTTTAGCAGAGACCCAAATGATGGGAAAATGTCCACAATGCCAATATTTGGAAGATGAGCACTTCAAGGCAGAGGGAACAATTGGTGAACAACCTAAGTTACTTCCCTAAGGTAGGATGATCTTGGCATGTGTATCAGTTTTCTACTGTGGCTGTTAGCAAGTTACCTCAACTTAGTGGTTTGAAACAACACAAATGTGTCATCTCACAGTTCTGGAGCTCAGAAGTAAAAAATGGATCTCACTGGGCTAAAATCAGCGTATCAGCAGGTCTGCACTCTTTTCTGGGTTTCTAGAGGAGAATCTATTTCCTTTTCCTGCTTCTAGGGGCTACTTGCAGTCCTTGGCTTTTGGCTCCCTTCATCTTCAAAGTCAGCAACTGCCCACCCAGTCTTTCTCATGACGCATCATTCTGACACACTCTCTGCTTCCCTCTTTCACTTATAAAGACCCTTCTGATTATGATGGGTTCTCTGGGTTCACAATGTCTCCATCTTGAGATCCCTCCTTTAATCACAACTGCAAAGTCCCTTTGGCCATGTAAAATAACATATTCACAGGTTCTGGGGATTAGAATGGAGCC